TTTTTTTTTTTTTTGGTGAGGTTTTGAGACTTTTAATTCTTTATTAAACCCGTCCTTTGCTCATTTAAACCTGTTCTGCCCATTTCCAGAGCAGCTGGGAAGCCTGGGATGCTGGAATGCAGGGTCCCTGCAGGTGAGCAGCAGCAGAAGCCCCAGCTGAGCACGGATTTGCTGCCTCTCTCGTGGAGTTTTGGCAGCCCCAGCACAAGGCCTGGCCGAGACCCTTTCTTACCACATCCTTGGAAAAGCGAGTGGAAAAAGTGTTCTCGTAAATCCTGTCAGGAAAAACAGCCCAGAAAAAAGTGAATTCCAGTGAAACCCTCGGAGAGCCACGAGGAGTTCACGGATCACCGTGTGCCTTGGCTCCTTCCCGGGCTCTGCACAATGCCCAGCAGGATGCCAGGGATGTGTCACCGTCCCCCGGGATGGCACCTGACCTGCCCCCCCTCCATCCACAGGCTCTTGGAATCCTGCCTCCAGGAGGGGATGGAGGGGCAGGATCATCCCTGCAGAGACCACAGGCTGCAGGAACCTGTTTAGCAGAGAATAACAGCCAAAAATACAGCCCGGGAGCTCCAGGCAGGGACACTTTTCCACCAGGAACAGAGCACGGCCATGGAGCGGCTGCTCAGGGAGGAGGGGGTGGAATCTCTGCTCCTCGAGGCTTTTCTTCAGGATTTCCTGGCTGAGCACGTGTGTGCAGCACAGCACTGCAGTCCTGAGGCAGGGAGGCACCAGAATTTAGGATCTGCTCCTGACAGGACATGGGACTGAGCAGGGAATGACAAGGGAATGCTGCCCTGCAGCTCCTGAGCTGAGAACAGAGCTCCCCAATTCCCTCAGCTGAGAATAGAGATCCATAATTCCCTGAGCTGAGAACGAGGATCCCCAATTCCCTGAGCTGAGAACGAGGATCCCCAATTCCCTGAGCTGAGAATGGGAATCCCCAATTCCCTGAGCTGAGAACGAGGATCCCCAATTCCCTGAGCTGAGAATGGGAATCCCCAATTCCCAGCCCGAAGGTGGAAGTCCAGCAGCAGTTTGAACACAGGGCAGGGAGGGAATGTTCAGCTACCTCTGACCTTTCCAGCACTTGGACCATAAATCCTTGGAGCACAGAGCTCTGGTGCTGCTCCCCTTTGGATCCTGTTAGTTACAAGAACTAGTTGCAGGGTTTTAATTAATTTTTTATATCTGGCTTTAAATTCTTGAAGAACAAAACCATGACAAGAATGGGGGTCTTACCTGTCACTGAGGTCTCCTGTGCCTTACAACCTCCATTACACAAACCTAGAGGTGCTGCTGTCTCCGAATTCCCTGAGGTTTCCAAACTCCAAACTCAGCCTGTGCCCTCGGATACATTCTTACCACACCCCCATTCGCTCACGAGCCTCAGTTTTCAAATCAAAGTTTATTAAAATGTCAAAAACAGACCTTACAGTTGCAACATGGGAAGGGGAGGGAGTACATGGGACAGGCCTGGAGTAACAAACAGTGAGTAATGCCAGGGCAAAGCGGGAGGAGGCAGGGAGGTACATCAGGAATTCTAACACTAACACAAACATGCTCGGAGGGATCCATCCCAGGGCGCAGCTCCGGCGGGAATGAGCTGGATGTGACCCCCCAGGGACACTGGGTGGGCTCCCCAGTGCTGGAGGGAGCAGAAGATGAACCGACCAGTTCTGGAGTGACAGGTTTTGTCCTTTTAAAGCCTGGAGAGCTTTGGGAAAAGGCCCCTGAGGGAGCCCCGTGTGGGGCTGGAGCACAGCGGGCCCGGGGCTTCACTCACAGGGGTTGTGCCCAGCTCTGACCTCACACCACACACTCCTCATTCCCAGCAATCATCAGGAAGGAACAGATGGAATAGTTAATACTCCGAGTCCTTAACTGCCCTTGCTGTTAAAAATTAAATATTTGATTCATCTGAATACTCAAGAAAGAAAACATAAATACAAAAGCACGTACGTGGTACAAACAAGAGTGAGCTCGACCACACCGCTCCTCCAGGACTCCAGAGGGACTGTTCCTCATCCTAGCTTAGCATATCTGGGGAATTCCATCCTCCCACCTATCCAGTACCTCAGAGAACCAGGAAAAACCTGGATGTTCTGTGACACGGCTGAAGTCCTTCACTGAACCGTGTCCTTCCCCCCTGTGCTTTTCCAGTTAGGAAGCAGCACAAGGCACAGACACCAACACTCACTGCTTGAGATGAGTCCTGAATATCCTTCACCCTGCAAAGGAGTCCTGGGCAGGTTCAACTCCACTGATCCATGAGGGGAGAGGAAACTGGGAGGAACTCAAAGTAACTCAGCCTTTTCCTGGCACGCGGAGGCAGAGCCCCGGGGAAATGAGTTGGATTGGATTTCTCCATCTTTGTACATGTGCACACTGATTCCCGGAGATTAAATCAAATGGACAGCCCTGGATTACTTCTAAGACAAGCTTAACACAAAATGCAAACTGCAATTCCATACATTGACAGGAAAAATAAACCAGCCCAGTCCTGGAATGGCAGAAGGCCATCAGTGGCACCTTCCAGCACCAGGCCCTTTGCAGCCACACCCAGGAAAGGGTCAAAGTTCCTGCCACTGACTCTGCCAGTAACAAAAATGTGTGAAATCCTGGTGGAATAGCCAAGACTGCCAGGAAAGGAGAGGGTATTCCAGGCTGGAGCTGGAATCTGAGCCAGGGCAGGGCTGGGCACATCCCTGTGTGCTACACACCAGTGAAGTTCCAGGAAAAATCAACCCCCAGCAAAGCCACCTGTGCCCCCAGGGCCCCACTGCCTCCAGCAATCCCAGCCCAGTTCCTGCTCCCTGTCCTTGGTGTCTGCAGGAATGGGAACTCAGTTTTTATCCATACAACCACTGAACCACGACAGCAAAGGCAGAGCAGCCACAACATCCCTGGGATCACATCCAGCCCTATCCCTGCGTTTGCCCACAGCTCAGGACCCTCCACTGCACTTCCCAAGGTAACTCTGGCACCCACAAAGCTTTTATGAATTAGTGAGAAGCAAACAAAGGGCAGGAAATTAATACTTTAGTGGAGATAATCTCTGGTTTATCTCACTGCACTGCTGGCCCAGCTCACATTTTCCACTGGAAGTCATTTTACTTAAGGGATGATGAGGGGAGATTAACCAAAGTTTTTATGCATCACCCTGGTTTTCAAAAGGCCTCAATTA